GAGGGGTGCTGTCACTTCTTTTTCCATGCATCACCTTTAATCTAACTTGAGTGACAACTCTTTCTAGTCTTTCTAGCCTAATATGTTCCATCCCATAGATGAACTGTATAATTTACAGCTATTGTTGTTGGCTACAGTATTTAGTATTTAGTGTGTTCTTATATTTGGTATATTATACTGCATGCATTGCAAACCCAGTGTTGATAATGTACATATGTATGTACAATTAATATGGAATTTATGTTTTGGCACACCTGGATTATACACCACTATTACTAGCAATCTGTGAGTAAATATGGCATTAGAGATGACCATGGTGCATGCCAGCAATCACAAGCTGATGCACTTATCCTACTGGAACAAAGAGAATATCATATTCATCAAGTAAACATCAAGTCATACATTTACTTTCGGGGATTTCTTTCTTAGTCTCTTACTTTGTCTGATGCATGGAGTGTATTCTCAGTGGAGGTTCTTCCACTAAGTGCACTTAACATCCCAAATATTTCTTGCTGGCAACCTTCCTCCAGCAGCTGGACTACCAGTCATTCTTCTGACTGGTATGAATGGAAAAGGGTGGCAGGTCAATGCAAAGCAGTTTGTTCCATGGACGGACGTTATTAATATTCTGACCAGAATGTGTCATACTGTGTGTGTGTGTGTGGCCTGGTCTTGTTTAAAGTATGGTGCTTAGATTTCTTAAGGATTATTATGTTTTGTCCTTTTAGCTTTTAGATGGGGAAGGGGTGTAGAAGGTGACAAAGTGATGAGATGGATTTAACTTTAACCTTAATTTACATTATTACCATTAATAGATTAGTGGCCTAAAAACTTTACAACTTACTCCACCTTATGCACTTTGAAACAACATCCAGAGATATCAGTGCTAGCTCTGTAGAAATGGAAAAGCAAAATCTCTACTGGTTGACACATCTCTATCACACTCGACACAACACTACTTGAAACAGTTACAAATACTGCAATACACTCAAAAACGCTGATAAGGATAAAATGGGTACATCAGATGTGTCTCCTTGTGTTTCTTTTGGTTTGATCATTTGTTTTGCAAAAAGTACCTAAGAAAAGTCTGTGCTCTCAGATGTGAAACTACAACCTTCCAAAGCTTCTGGTCCAACTCATAAAAAACACATTAGACACAGTATCACCACATGGGAATTGTGAAGTTAACAGAACTTTATATCAACGGTTAAGCCTTTGTGGTTTGTGGTCTGTTCCCATGAAGTGTATTGTTGTAACATTGCTGTTAGGGTTTAGGTCTTGCTCAGGGTAGGGGTAGGCAGGGATGTTGCAAAACACAAAGAAAAGTAGCTATCAGCTGAGAGGGACAAGCAGGGTATATTCAGTCAGCTGCTGGAGACAGTTAGCCAATAGGGAGCCATTAGCTAGCTAGCGACAGAGCTAAGTAGTGCTGTAATGTATTTGGCAGAGATAAAGCAGTGATGGCGTTGACTGCTGACGCACTGAGAGAAAAGTCTGGCTGCTTCTACTGTGCTGCTGCTCTGCCCACATGTGCTATTCTCCTCTGCATGATATGAGAATTACTTCACTGAGAGACACAAACACAAGACACAGAAACAGAAAATGCCCCAGAGAGACTTTGTGAAGAGTTGGTGAGGATTTGGGATATCATGTAGTGTGGGAGTTGTGGTTGAGTAAAAGAGAAAAGATCAAAAATATTTTCAGCAGTAGCAAAGGATATGTGGACACAAAGGAGCATTTAAAATGACAATAACATACGACTTTCTGTATTAAAAATCATAAATTAGTAATATTTAATTCAGTAATTTGCTTAATTGGGGGATGTGCAATATGTATTAATTCATTTGACTGAGAATAATGTAATTATTAACATATTATAGATTGTTATTTTATTTATTAACCCCCTTTCCTCAAAAATTGATTGAAAGAATTTTACTTTATTTTACGGTAGCAAGTTAGCTATTATACCTCTACTGAAATGTCCCAATTAAAAGCTACTGTAAGTAAGTAGGTATTTATTATCAGTATCAGTCATTTTTGCAACTGTATTCTATAACTCAGGTTATATCTGGCTAAAATGTTACTGTATGCTTTGTGAATAATGGTTGCAAAACTATTAGCATGTAAATTTATCCTTTGTGTTTTGAGTCATTAAAGGATACAGCTGGTGCTTTTTTTCTGTTTTAGCTATCCTGTCTGTGGCACTATGTGAAGACGTAAATCTTTAACATCTGGTCCCTAAGTCATTTTTTAAAACAGCTGGGAATTGTAGTTTTTAGCAAACATTACTCAACCAGGAGTAAATTGTGTATTTGTTAGGGACTATTTTTAGCTGTGGGTTAATACATATTTGGAGTATTTAAGGCAGTACACAGCAAGTGTGATTAACTCAAAATAAACTACAGTGTGTGTTCATGGTTGAATCATGTCACCCAGTGCAGTAGTGTTGCTCATTGATGTGTTTTTAATAGTTTATGGTGCAGAGGAATAAAACATATCAGGATCTGACATAGGTAATAATTGTTAGTTGGTTAGTAAATTGTGGGTTTTAGTCTGTATGCTGCCAGGCTTATCTTTTAATGCTTCTGAAAGACATTCTCACCTAATATAAACAGAAATGGCAATTCAGTGAACACTTGGTAACATCAATGGAAAAACCATTTTGGACCCCTGACCACTCTTAAAGCACAAGCTATGGGCTTATGATCATGTAAAGTTTCCATTATTGGTGCCAGCAAAGACAGCCAGCAGAGGAAGTCTGAGAGTGAATGAAGAAACACGTGAAAATAAACAGATAGACAGACAGATTTTTCTCACAGGGCAATTCACATCACCATCAGTGATTTAATGTCAGACTTGGACAATTTACAATTTAGCAACATAATCACAAATCCTTCTACACTGCCCTGAAGCCAAAATCTTGATACGATGTGTGTGACTATGTGAGTGGGTTTCCTGTAAATAAGTTTACTTCTGCCCTGACAACCATCCACCCTCTGATAGACTGGTGGATAAAGGACCTCTGTTCTCCCTCTCTTGAATAGTCTGATTTCACACACACACACACACACACACACACACACAGTGACAACATCAACTCAGCGACCAATTGGCCACAAGTCAGCCAAGTCTCTGCGATCAATGTGTCCCACATTGCATGTGTCTGCACATGTTGGGCAGCATTTTTGTTGATGTTCATAAATTTATGTGTCAATATTCCCTCCCTAGTTTTGTTTGCACACACCTATCGTAACACACATAAACACAACCAGTTTCCTCGTAAGGGCTCTTGATCTAAAATCCATGCTTGGACTGGCCGTCTGGGAATTCTGGCAAAATTCAAACGGGCTGACTCACCTTTGGCATGCACACTTTCTCACATCTCACTCATTTACTAATGGTAGTATATTGTTCCATTTTAAAATTAAAAACTGAAAGGTGGATCCATTTTTATATTGTAACGGTTCATTTACTGGCAGATCTTTCTTTTTCTAAGAACCTAGGTTCCTTTCCAATTATAATTCAAACTTTACCCCGTTTCCACAACCACAAGTCCCATTACAGTATTTCAAGTGAAATCCTCTGATATGCAGAAGGGGTTGTGTCATTATGTATATCAGAATCAGAGTCATAATTGGGTTTATTGCCAAGTAAGTTTTTACCTGACAAGGAATTTGTTTTGGTGCATTTGTGACAAAAATAAAGTACTTTCTAAAATATAAATAAAGATAAAGATAAAGATAGAAAGATCTAAACTGTACAGGCGGTGTGAGCGGTGATGACACCTGCTACTACTCAGACAAAAGCAAAAACTGAAATAAACAGAAGTCCAATGAAAAAAGGCAATGGTAAAGCTCAGATTGTATATATACAAATACTCCTTTATACTGCTGGTCTTCTGTTTGTCGATGAAATATTTTAGGCTATGTTTAAAATGGTGAGGAATACAGAGCTGCCAGATAGGGATGACTGACTAAATGAATCAAACGCAGTGGTCAAAAAAGAAGAAATTGATGGACTCTCCATCTGTCACATTAAGTAGAATCAGAATTTTGACTCAAATATTGGTATCTTGCATTTTGTTGGCTTCCTGAGAAGTTGGACAAGAAGTGTAACAGAAGGAGAGTTAGTAATAATCAAAGAATGGTTTCATTACCAGGGTTTGTGTTTCCATCACCCACCTGCTCAGATAAAGCCAATAAAGTACTGTCACTGGCTGTTTTTGTAGATTTAATGGCATTTGGTGGATGATATTTACCAGTTTGATTTACGAAATAACTGCAAATTTTTTTGTATTAAATATATTAAATTCAATAATTATAATTTATACATACTCAAGCAAATCCTACACCTCCCACACATGGATACCAGTATCTATTTGGAAGAAGACCGTACACTCTGTAATTTTCTGGGTTTTTCGTGCGCAGAATTCACTGCTTTCAAATTGGCAGATGTATGCGTGTATTCCTCCTAAGAAAAAAAAACAAAGTAAACATTAAGGTTGGGCTAATCATGGCTTCTGTCCAGTCCAAATGGTTAGTTGAAGATGGGGATGGGATAAGTGTGGATTTGTTTCTTTCATTGTAGCTAGCTTCTTGGTACACAAACAGCGATGGGTTGAGCACACAATTTCCAAACTGAGGGTCTTCTTCACACATGCTGAAGGAAAACCCGCTCCAGTTCACTCATAACCTGAAACTGGTTAATTTAAAAAAAAGAAAGAAAGTATAAAAGTGGGGGTAAACAGTGGGGTGATTGCTACCATTAAGTTGCAGGTAAGACAGTGGACCAGATGGAAGAAGCCAATGAGAGAAAGAGGGCCAAGTATTAAAGCCTAGTGGAGGAGTGTTGAGGTGCTAGGGGTTGGAGCTATCTGGTGGCAGTGGGATGTAAGGACTTTGCAGGCGGGTTCCTCAGCAAAGAGTTCAGTTTAATATGAAGAATAGAACAAAAACACCAACACCAGAAAATTAAAACAATAATTGTTTTTATTTGGCACAACACAAAAAGTGCTTTATGATAACACTGCACATGATAAAACTGTTTTAAAATGTCACCCAGTTTTTCTCTTGTTATTGCTCATTAAGGCACCTCACAACTTTAAAACACATAATTTGAAGATAATGACATTTCTGTGCAAATCTTTTTGAAATGTTTTGGACAAAAGTTTTCCGTCTGCTTTGGCTTTATTGTCCTTTATATTAAGAACTGAACACAGGAAGCACAACTCCACGGAGTTTCAACACTGCAAAAAAATGTTGTTCACATGTTCACATGTTGTATATATTAAAAATAATTTCTAGATGTATTTATTGTTTTTGCAGTGTAGACATATGGAACCTTAATAATTGTACATGTACACTAGAGGACATCTTCCTAAGTACAGAATCCAATAAACATAAATATGCTGGTTTTCTATCTACGTACAAATTACAAAAACACAGGTTCAACACCTCTCTTGAAATCAATAACTTATCCCTACAAATTGCATTTTTACTGTTGTTATTGCAGACAAAATCCCCAGCTCATAATTTCACATTGTTTGGTCAGATATACAAGTCATTGTCAGAACAGTTGAAAGCACAACAAATACATTTTCCCATTTTTCTTATAAAAAACATGAGTAAAAATAAAGAATCTTTGGTAGCTAAGCAAAAATAGAATAAAAATGTCTATATATAAAATGCACTGAAATACAAAGTAACAAAAAGTAAACGGCTACAGCAAAGGGCCAAAAAGGCAGAGAAATCCAGCTTCGACTTAATAAGGAACTGCGTATAAAAAAGGACACTTTTATATTCAATATCATAAACAGATCATAAATTACTAGAGACTTTCAGAATGCATCACTCTTTGGACGGCATCCTGACGCCTTGATGCAATGCAAAAGAGAACCACTGAGGTATTTCATCTTGATTACGTCAAGCATCACACTGGACAATGGAAGAGACATAAAAGTGCAACAATTAAACTCATGTCTGCTCATCTATAGCAAACACAGGACTTGTTTCATTCCAAAATGCTGTTCCTTTCCATCAAGTGCCCTTATTCATATTCCTGTTATCAGGACAGGAAGTACTTTCCTCCCATTTGATACATTTTCATATTTTCTCCTCCCCTTGCAGGTAATTTAACACAATGCCAGGAAGCACAGAGATAGGCCACATTACCCTCAATACAGTATGTGAGAAAGGAAGAGAGCAAGGGCACATGGAAAGCAAAAATCACAAAGTCTTTGGATTGGAACATGTCCACCATGTCTACTTGGTGGTTATCATTCAACTTGGTAGAAAGAAATACATTAACAGTAATAGTGTTAAAACCAGTTTGCAACATACACCCATCATAATTTTATTTAAAAATAAAATAAAAACAAAAGGCATTGTTTCTGTAAAAATAAAACAGTCACAGCAGCAATGATACACCGTCTCTCTTCTGGTCACCTGGTCACCTGATCCGGTGGAGATTATATCTACGAATCAGTGATCAGTTTGAGATTCTTCACTTTGTAAACGAGAAAAATACTGTATTCACGTCATATGGGAATAACAACAAGACATGTCCAGACATTCAAACACAATGCATCTGTAGCCTCTTAAAAGCATGGTTGGATATTTCTGTGGATCCTTTTCCTCTTCACATTCAACATACAGTACGCACCACAGTGACTGATGTGTTTGGATCATGAACAAAACTTGCATCAAACAGCTGTGCACTGCCATTGAAATTTACGAGTGGAATTGACTCAAGTGATACAATGTCTTCAGTTGAAATAGATGCATTATGAATAGATTTATAGTGTAAGAGGAAGCATCTTTCCCATATGACATGAGTGCAGCAAAAAAAGAGAGCAGCTCTTAATTTTAAAGCCCTTTCTGCACCCTTTCACTCTTTGTAAATTGATAACTCTTCCAAAGAGAGATTTGAAAACACTGAAAAGGTACACCAATGCATTTCCTCCAGAACTAACAACTTTGAACTTGTGGCATGAAATCAATAAGCAGATGCAGTGTCACATCTTGTGGATTTTATTGTTTGTTTTTAATGGTAAAGTGGCCAAGCTCACCCATTCATGAGATCCACACAAACTATCCAGATAACTGCAGATTACATTCCACAACTTTTACTTTAGCTTTTTAGAGTTAACATGTAATCCTTGGTGTTGTTCAGTCATTTGACAGTGGAGACAGCCTGGAAGGCAAGGGCAGTGATAGTTTCAGTTTGACTTCAATTTGAAGCTATATGTGGTGGGGTTTTTCTGCTTCCCTCTGGTAGGGGCAGTATGTGGATTTGTTCCTAGTTAGGATGTACAAACATTTCCTGGAGACACAATGATGCTCTGGAGGTAAAATGTTCTTACTGGTCAAGTTAAACCCCAGTGGGCGGAGATAAAAATCCACAGTTTCTTTGGCTCAGTTCAAAATGTAAGACTGAAGCCCAGTGAAAATGACATGGGTAAGAGGTAGCTAATATTACAAAGCCAAGCACTCTTGCTACCAACTGCAATATATTTAATCTTGCCATACTGAGTAATCAAGGTCAGCTATTTAGCTTACACTAGTGGTTCTTCAGTTTGATTAAAGACATCTAGGTAAGCTAATTAGCTAGCATGCTGATGTTCCAAGATCGTGAATGCTATGATTATGAGAAAAAAAGAACAAAAGAAAAAAAGCAGCCACTGTGATTTATTTATTTTTGCCATTCAAGTCTGAAAAAAAAAAACATTTTGGTTGAACTCAACCAATTTTGCCTCCAGAGCTGCTCTGCATCTGACAAACATTTGTATAGCAACAATATGGTGTAAATAAAAAAAAAAAAAAACATGACTTCAGTGGTAACTGATGACTGTGGTCATACATCCAGCACCATGTCATAGTGTGGTTCCTTCTTCCTCTTCCCACACTTATTTATGAGCACTGTATACAACGTCAACAGTATGACCCAGTAACTGGCATAGACGACTGCCCCTATGATCAGAACAATCTTTTCTGATTCAGGAAAGGGTTTTCTAGTCTGCAGGATTACTGTGTAGATAATCCCAACGAAGAGGATGGTGAACCAAACTGATATAGGAATCAGACCAATGAAGTTCACCACTATAGTCTTCCTCCCAGAGGTCCCCCATCCAGACTTGTTGATTGTTGCTATTGCAAACATTTTTGCTGGCAACAAGCTTGACATGTACAGTACAGAGTAGAACGACATGAACACCATGACTATGTTACCTCTGAGACAGCTGGCAAACGACGACTTGATTAGCGCCACCGCCTGCACAATGAGTAGAAACAACAGAATATTCCAGAGCCTTCCTTGGTAGAAGAGTTGGATTGCAGTGGCGATGAGGAAAAACGGGAAGAAGCCCGTGATCACAGCCTCATAAGTCATCCATAGATGGTGTTTGTGGAACCACATAGAGTTGTATAGCCATTCTCTGAAATATGACTTACTCCACCGAGTTTGTTGATTGAGCCACCTCAGGTATGTAATTGGCGTCTCAGTGAGGCACTTTGATCGTGCAGTGTATTTGGTTGCATACCCAAGGCTTAGAACTCTGTTCGTGAGATGGCGGTCATCCCCAAAACTGCAGTGGGATCCCATGAAAGTCTGATTGTACCAGTCCTCCAGGAACTCGTGCAGGAGGGAGTTCCGATACATTCCTAAAGGCCCACTGATGCACTGCACGCAACCAAAGTAGGACTGGCAAGCCCTCTCAATGTTGAAGGCCATCCAGTACCGTACACTGCTTAGGAAGGAGATCCACGACTCATATTTGTTTAGGATCTAGAGAGGAATCGATGAACAAAAAGAAAAAGCTAGAGGTTTAACATAAAGATAAATCTAATTGATGTGAAATGCTCAATTTGTAACATTTGTCAATTGCAAGGAACAAGAAAATATTCATAGTTTTGTGACTGACCTGAACATCTCCTCCAACGCCTCCCACCATCGGGTCTTCTTCTAGAACCTTCACCATCTCCACTGATGAAGCTGGGTCCAACATAGTGTCAGAGTCACACACCTGAGTAAACCACACAAAATAAACAGTGAGTTACTTGTGTTTAAGGGTCAAAGGTAATCTGTTACTGTCATGTAAAAAGGAATAAAGCTTTTCCTTATCTGAATCATGGGTCTAAAGATACAGGTTGCTGTAGGCTGTGAATTTGTGATTTGTGATATTGGACTATATAAATAAAATTGACTTGA